AAAAAAAAAAAAAAAAATTGCTTAAGTCAGTTTTTTGAGTCACAGCCATAAGTATATACACTACTGATGAATGAATCCGCAAAAAGGGGACGCAACGTCTATATCTAGGTGCTTATAATCCTTCTGCTGCGTTTTTATCCGGCTATTCGCACGTCAAAGCCGGAGGGCCGGAAGGAAAAACGAAAAAAAGGAAAAATGCGCGCGGAAACAGCCCAGTCGAGCAGGAGGACTCTTTTGAACTTTTTTTTATGCTACATCCTTTATGAAGAAATAAAAAAAAGTTTGAAGTCTTTCTTATCATGAAAATCCTCATGATTCAATACTATAACATACTCGAGGGGACATGCCTAAAATATTAAAAAAGTCAAAGTTTTATTAAAACTACAGTTATGGAGTCAATGGATTATTGTGGGATATAGGTACCTTGCCAAACCAAAACAAAACACAAGAGACAAAGAGAACAGGAATAATAAACACAGCAGGCAAGCGGATCGGGGCCCGCGGGTGAAACCCGCACACCTCCTTCCTTTTCTTCACTGAAAAAAAAAAAATCTCACTTTTTCACTCTGAACAATCCACGCTGTGCCCCGTGAGTTCTCCTCTTTTACGTAGTTTTTCTCTACAGGTACGCCAAAGTGTAAAAAACAAGAGAGCGTAGTCACAAGGATAAAAAAGGATCAACTTAAATTTTTTTTTTTTTTTTCACCATACACTAAGTAATTATACACTATTCGTGAATGCAGTCATATGCACGTAAAAAACGGAGCACCAACAAGTGATGAAACGAAACAACACAAACGCCCGCGAGAGATGCACTGTCGCAGATGTCGGACAGGATTGTTGGATGGATAGGATAGAACGTACAGGGGAGGAAGAGAGAGAGAGAGAGAGAGGAAGATGCGTATACACCCGCACTTTACGCAGGGAGGAGATGTATATATTCTCTTCGAGTCAGCTCCTCTGGCTCTCCATACTCCATATACTCTTTCTCTGCGATCTATACAGCTTGTTCAGGTAGCTTATTACATACACAGTATGCACACAATTATTAGATATGACGATGTACCTCTCTCTTTCTTCTGCACTGTTATTTTCGTACGAGTGCGTGCATGTCGCATGATACTGCTACACTAGTGCTACGACGACGTAAAGATATAAGTACATTGTAAACACCATCAGAGAAGAAAGCACTCCAACTCCCAAGGTCGATAAGCTTTCTAGTTCTAGGTTAGGAATTCAGAAGGCACCGGGGCGTACATCGTGCACTTGAACGTCTTCAACGACCCAGCTCTTTGGGCGCCGTCGTCGTCGTCGGTACCGACTACGACGACGACGTGTACGCATACGAGTCTATCTCCTCTACTCGCTCCTCTCCTTGTCTTTTTTTTCGTACGAGGAAAGAGGACGCAAAAGTTGTATACGTCGCTGTTTGAGCTCTTTGACTTATTTTCACTAGGTAATGGGTGTATTTTGGTGCGAATATACCACGCGACGATACTTTCGGAGTCGCCGCCCTCGAGTCCTCGACCCACACACAGAACGGCACGCCAGCCAGTAGGCATGTAGGCAACTGCCGTTGGCTGGCTTAGTAATCAGTCTCTCCTACCCACACCCCCGTCCCCCTCGATTCATAATTTATATATGCCTGATGATACTTAACTGTTTGCTTCGTTCTTACAAGAGATGTTCAACATTTACTCATTTTGTTTACGGAAAAATCTGCGTAGTGGTGGTTTGTTTTCCCTTTTGTCATTTTGATAAAATAGATGTTTGGTTTGTAAAGAACAACCCCGCCTGTGCACTTACTCGTTTACTTTAAACTGTATACAAATATTTGTTTATTTAGTCAAAATAATAAGAAATACGTGAAGGACACAAAGTTTTTAAGATTGCATTCAGAACTCGGAACCAACGATAGCATATCAAAACTGCTCGACTAGGCTTTTTACTGCAATAACATGCCTTGTTTCCTTTTTTAGTGAACATATACATTTGACTTATCTATTTACCTCACTTTTAACATATATATTTGGATCTTTTTTTTTCTTATCACGGCACATGACAAACGTACAGCATTATCTGCATAATCTGCATTGTGCATAATTGTGTAGGTACGTACGGACAGCTCTCGTCAATCACCTTTCAGTTTTCAACTTTCAACGGGATAGCCCCACAAATTTTAGTACTAAAATTCCGCACCAACCTAGAAACGTCGCCACCATCCACTCGGTTTTAAAGCGTTGATTTTGAATTCAAAACATATAGAAAGCTCTCATTCCCGATTTCCTACCCGAATATGGTTCTTATAGTGGTTCTTTACTGAATAGCCGGATACCGATACACGAAACACGAAGTTGCACATTCATAACGCAGACTGAATGAAAACTTTACTTCACCCTTCGTTTAAAAGTGTTGGACTTTCTTTTTCGGCACGGCATACTACATACTATACTGTATTTGCTATGTGCTATTGAATAGTAAAGAGATAATGAGTCATTACTTTCTGTTTTAGGGTCATTAAATTTTCCCCGGTTGTAAAATGATAATAACGATGGTCCAATTGTTCTCTTTAAGAATTTAAAAAGACGGTACTAGGATTATACACTGTAATTATCGAGGCTGTCAGCAAACATGGGAAAAATTATTGGTTACGAAAAAAGTGAGCTTGAAGTTCAAACCCTCCAGCAGCATCGACGATATTCTAATGGGTATGCTATTATCATTTCTATACTTATTTTGCGAGAATATTTTTATCTCTACTTTGCGTTATTTCCTCTCAGGCTTTTGAGCAATTTCTCCCAATTCTGAATGTTTAACCGCATCGTCAAATATTCTGCTTGGCTACGTAATATATCCTTGATTACACGTTGGAACATACACCCCTTGTATTTTTTATCACTTTAGTAAGAATGTAATTGTACGATTTACAGAATTACGAGAAGTAGGTATTCTGAATTCACCTCGTCTGTGTCGCTATATGTTTATTTAATAAGTAACATGACACGATTGAAATTCAACAAAATAACAATAAGCAGTAGTTGAACGCTCCATCAAGCTGTTCTCATGCAATTAATTCTTTATTTCGATTCTGCATGTTCTCCTTTAGGGTGCAAGGCTTAAATGTAGTCCGCGAGTGATTTGTTGTAGAAGTTCAAAAGTTTCGAGGGTACGGGACAGGGGAAAGAGAGACTACCACCCCACATACCCTACTTGTATACATTGGCATTTATAGGGGGAGACACACAGGGTCTGTTGAATTTTTTATGAGAAGGGTTGGAAAAAGTTGACCTCATCTGGAATTAGCACGCTCTCGTATTATTAAAATTCATCAAGTATTTCTCTTACTCAATATAAGTATATTACAGGTAGGGAAATGTTATTAAAACGATTATGATATAAAATTTAATAAAGTTAAGCTTTGTGAATACAAAATGTCTCAAATAAGGAACTGATCCTTAATACCCATGCACAAAGATTATTTTTTTTAGAAATTTTTGAGAACCACTGAGCGAGCTAAGAAACCACGTATGGAGTATTAGGAATGTCTTGCCCAGTGGCAGGATATATTCCAGCCACGCGTCGTCCGTCCTTTTTACGCGGGGTATACACGAAGGCATATCTTAGAGTACACACTCCTTTACTTTCTTGCTTCCTCTTCGTTTTCGGAGGTATAGGTATAGTGCGCTGAGGTAATTTCCTTTGGGAAATATTTTTACAATGATTTGCAACTTCAAACAAATGATTTTAGCAAATATATGTCGAACATCAGAAAAATTTTGAATGCAAAAAAATGTTTCCAAATGACAAAATGTCATTGTCAACCAATAATACTACTCAACTACATGGTTGCCAAGACATATACTGAAGCTCAACATATTGTAACATGGGATCGTTAAAAAGGTGCTGGGAAAAGCATGTGTGCCAAGGATGAAAGGAAAGCTTTTCCAGCGACGAAATGAGAGAGATAAAGAAGCATGATCGTGTCTCTATTGATTTGCGCGCGTGCGCTTGCCTATCCTAGAAGAATATATAAATATATACAACCGACTTGTGAAGAAAATTAAATTATGAGTTCAATTAAAATCATTAACGCGTGAACCGCGTAGGAACGTTAGTTAATAAATTTGACTTCTTTGGTTAAAAAAGTATTTTTTTTTTATTCGTTACCATATAAACTGGTTGTAAGATTTGAGCACAGTTTTTTTTTCATATAATGATTTTTTACATGGTCGTTGTTCAATTTTATACATTTTTAGTTAAAAAACAAAGTTTAATTTTCTTTTAGCGTTTTAGAAAGCTGGATTATGATTGAACACGCTTGAAATATAAGCATTAATTAATCATTTCATTTGCGAAATGTGTTAAGATTTTTTCTATAATCCATCACATATTTTAGTATTTTTTTTT